GAGTTAGTTTTACAGAATGAAATGTCTGAAGGAGTGCTCATCCAAGACTGGTGATTCCATACCTTTTGCCAGGGGTTGTAAGATCTTGTTTTCATTATGTGCAAAGACAAATATTTTTGTTTATTTCAACTCAATAAACACAAACACACATACTGACCATGACTTTACGAAGTTTGTAGCGTTTGGACCTGATGTCGTCCATGAGCATCTCATATGGAGTCAGCTGATACTCGATGGGCAGAGGGTTGTACTGACGCTCCTGGACCTTCTTCAGTTTGACTCCTTCACGAAGATCCCTCATCACCTGAACCCAGAATCGAGCCTGACAGAGAAAGCAAACTTTAGCAAAGAGTCCAACAAACCCCTCTGAGTTCAGGATGAATCATGCAGACTGGAGATAAGGTTAGAAGTCAGGGTTTTATTTTACCCAGTCAGCATTCTGCAGCTCATTCAGGTCTCTAACAGGCTCCTCTGATGATTCCTCCTCCATCTTACGAAGGTTCTGGTGGAAACACAGAACATTTCTGATTTATGTTAAGCTTAGCATCATTCAGGAATGGAAAACTATTTTCCTAACTCTGAATACAAAAAGGCTGTTCAGGCTTGGTCGAAAGACTGCGACAGTGCACGCTTGCAAAAATATTCTTTTAACTGTGTTATACYTATTACAAGCTGGAGTTTAAAACACTATCTTCTTTGTTTAAAAGTAACAAATCTGCATAAAATGCCCAAGATTCATAAAGTAAATACACCAGTTTAAGCGAGCCAGTGTGGGCAACAATCAAGGAAGACAGAATAATTCAAATTCAGTTCAAATTCAATAAAGACCAAGAGAATAAAGACCAAGAGCTCTTGACAGGTCAGAGACAATGAAAGGTACAGATCAGAGTGGGAGTATTAGATGACAGCAAAATTCACCAAAAAAATTTTGTTGTGATCAAGAATCACAAATCAATCAAGGAGGGTAAAAAAAACATCCCTGACAATCACCAAGCTGCTGGGATGTTTTATTTATTCCCCACCAGCACCAGCAGGGACTGAGGGACCACAGGCCTATTGCACGAACCTAGGATAAGGGATTAACCCGGAATTTTGGTGTAAACCTGAATTAATTAAGCCTTGAATCAGTTGCATGACAGAGGAAGCACTTATGTTTTTGTGGTAACAAGTGCTCTGAAACTAACCTGGTCCAGACCAGGTTTAAAGTGAAGCTTATTTAATCTTCTAAGAAGTAGAGTCATTTTAATGTAAAAAACTGTTCCTCTAACCAAGTTTTACAATCTTATATCAGCTAAAAAGCATTTTTGGTCTTGTTTTTAGACCGATTTACTAAACAAGATCAGAATATGTTGGATTATTAATCTTGTTAACCTGAAAAGTTTTCTTTATTTCAAGAAGTGCAACTGTCAAACTGCAGATTATTAATTATTATTTATTTGAAAAGAATAAGGGTCTAATCTAGTAGTTTTAACTTATTTTTAGATGGCTACGCTTTGCAGTTTCTGATCAGAAATCAGTTCTTCATACACTTATTAAATTTACTCGTTTTTTGCATTAAAATGTTACAGAGTAAATTATTTAATTTATTTATAAGATTATCCATGAAAAAGAATGATTAAAAAAGACAACCTCAGCTTCACCTTTAAAATATTCTTTAAAATAATATGTAGCCTGGTCCTTGCCTTCCTACGCAGCTCCGCTCAAGTCTAGTTTCCCTTCACTGCTC